ATCAATAAATTTTAGTATCAAAATTGTATGAGCCCCGTAATACATGTTCAAAAGTAATTTCATTTTATCCACTCTTTGAAGTAAGTTGTATAAGATTGTTGTTAGCTCTTAAACTATTTAAAGAATTCACTGATGAATTCCACTGGGGCTGGAAGTTTTCTTTCTGGGTAGGAGTTTAATCACTGTATGTAATATATTTAATAGAAGATGGCAGTTTCTATTTTCTGTTTCTTTTCATGTCAGCTTTCGTAAGTTAGATTTTCTAAAATGAATTGTCCATGTCATCTAAATCATAAAATTTATTTGTCTAAATTTATTCATAATACCTCTTGTTGGTGCCTGTCAGATCTCTAGCGATATCCTACTTTTAATTTCTTATATTAATAATTTGTGCCTTATTTCTTTATAGTCTTACTGGGGTTTTATCAGTTTTGTTCATTTTTTCCCCAAGACCCACCTTTGGATTTTTCTGTATTTCTCCGTTACTAAGATTGGCAAAATATGGCAAATGGGTCAAATCTATCCCCTTACCTGTTTTTTTTTTATAAATTTGATTTTATTGGAACATAGCCAAAGCCATTCATTCATTTATGCATCTAATATGCTTGCTTTTGTATTACAATGGCAGAGTTGAGTACTCATGACAGATTTTATGGCCCACAAAATCTAATATATTTATCATTTGTCCCTTTACAGAAAATGTTTGCCTATTTCTGTTCCATTATATATGTATCTTTTTTCTATTTCACTGTTTTTTGTCTGTATCTTTATTACTACTCTGTTATACCTTCTTTGAATTTATTTTTCTATTTCTTTCATGCTTATTGAGGTGGATCTTCAGATCATTGTTTGTCATTCTCATATTTTTACTTCACCATTACATTTTCTCTAAGACAGATTAGTTGTATGCCGCAAGTTTTGTATTCATATTGAAACCATTTGCTTATTGACCTTGACAGAATCCGGTGCCCCGACTGGGACTAGAACCTGGAGTACCGGCACCGCAGGCAGAGGATTAGCCTATTGAGCCACGGCACCAGCCCGGGTGCTAAATGTTGTTAACCACATCATTCTAATTTTCTTTTTTAAGGGTTTACTTTTTTTGTTGAAAAGCAGAGTGACATAGAGAGAGGGAGAAACAGAGACAGAGATCTTTTGTCTGCTACAAATGACCACGACAGTGGCTTGGACAGTTTCAAAGCCAGGAGCCTGGAACTACAACTGGGTCTCTCATGTAGGTGACAGGGGCCCAAGTACTTGGGCCATCTTCCACTGCCTCCCCAGGCTCATTAAGAGGGAGCTAGGTCAGATGTGGAGCAGCCAGGACTCGAACCTGCACTCCTATATGGGATATTGGCATTGCAAGCCACATTTTTTTTTTTTTTTTTGACAGGCAGAGTGGACAGTGAGAGAGAAAGACAGAGAGAAAGGTCTTCCTTTGCCGTTGGTTCACCCTCCAATGGCCGCTGCGGCCGGCGCACCGCGCTGATCCGAAGGCAGGAGCCAGGTGCTTCTTCCTGGTCTCCCATGTGGGTGCAGGGCCCAAGCACTTGGGCCATCCTCCACTGTACTCCCGGGCCACAGCAGAGAGCTGGCCTGGAAGAGGGGCAACTGGGACAGAATCCGGCGCCCTGACTGGGACTAGAACCTGGTGTGCTGGCACTGCTAGGCGGAGGATTAGCCTAGTGAGCCGCGGCGCCGGCCCTGCAAGCTGCATCTTAGCTTGCTTCACTACAATGCCCCTCCCCTAATTTTCTATATTAAGACTTATTTGAAAGGCAGAGTGGTAGGTTGAGATAAGATCTTCCATCCACTGGATCACTTCCCCAAATGCCTGCAACAGCTTGGGCTAGGCCTTCATCCGCTGCCTTCCAGGAAGTTGGATGGGAAGCAAAGTAGCCATAACTTGAACCAGTACTCTGATATGGACTGCAAGCATCCCAAAGCAGTAGCTGAACCTGCTGCACCACACCTGCCCTTCGGTATTTCAATTAATTTATTTTCTGGCTGTTCATTTTGCTGAGTGGGGTGTGTTAAAGCTGCCCATTGTGATTGGGAATTTGTTCCACCTTTGGTTTTGTCTGTTTGAGGCTATGCTATGAAATCTTCATGTTGAATTGACCTTCCTTATCAAAAGTCTCTCTTTGAGATGCAGTGACCTTCTTGCCTTAAAGGTTCATATTGATACTCCCAGGCTCAGACTAACCTAGAAGGTTTATTTTAATCTTTCTCCTTTCTCCAAGTATTTGTGAGTCCTTTCTCCAGACAAGAAACCAGGCCCATTCTGTTTTCATTGTATATACCTATTTGCTCAGGCTTAGGTTCACAGAAAGCTGGTTCAGAGTTGCTAGCCCTATACCTGTAAAAAAAACAGCTTCCAGAGATCATTTAGTTTTCTGCTGGATGACAGGTAATATTCACAGAAAACCTTGATCAAGGCCAGTCAAGGTCAATCAAAGGTTTGTCTTTATTCTAAAGGAGTAGCCCTCCCAGGGACCCAGCTCTTCATGTGTATTCATGATTACTTTCTAGGAATAAATCTCTAGGAGCAGAATTGCTGGGTCAAAGTGCCAAGGAGAACAATCAGATCTTTTGCCCACTTTTATTTTTTAAATATTTACTTATTTATTTGAAAGGGAGAGTTACAGGAGAGAGAGAGAGAGAGAGAGAGAGAGAGAGAGAGAGAGAGAGAGAGAGAGAGAGAGAGAGAGAGAGATATGTCTTCCATTTGCCAGTTAACTCCAAAAATGGACACAACGGCTGGGGCTGGGGCTGGGGCTGGGGCTGGGCCAGGCTCCTGGAACTCCATCCAGGTCTTCCTATGAGTGCAGGGGTCCAAGCACTTGGGCCATCTTCCACTGTTTTCCCAGGCACATTATCAGGGTGCTAGAAAGGAAGTGCAGCAATTGGGACTTGACCTGGTGCCTGTATTGGGATGTTAGCATCATGGGTGGCAGCTTAACCCACTGTGCCACAATGCTGGCCCCTTGCCACTTTTTAATTGGATTATTCTTTGTGTGTTTTATGTATAAAGGTTTTTTTTTTTTTTTACTAGATCATCATCATGTGTGTGACTTGTAAATATTTTTTCCCATTCTGTGACTGTCTTTTTCTTGCCAGTCTCCCTGAGGTTATTGTCCTCCTCCTGGCAGCCCTGAAAGCTAACTTCTATATCTTCAGCAATATGAGACTCCTCGTAACCCCATAGGCTTTGTGCCTCATAACAATTACTTTCTTTTGGTTTCTTGGTCTTACTCTGAGCAGGTGCAGCTTAGGAGTCAGCAGGTGCCTTGAGAGGAGGCTCACTTCTCTGCAGCTTACTTTTTTCTAGAATGGTGGCCTCCATTTTTTGTCTCCTTCCAACACTGCAAGCCCACCACAAGCTCTGGGTTGTTGCTATGTATTCAGCTTTCACTCCCCACCTGATGAGTTGGTGAAGATCTTGCTAAGAAACAGCCGTGGCAAGTGCAGAGCTCACTTAGTATGTCACCCTGTCCCCAGGTTGCAGTCTGTGAAATGCTGCTGTCTTGATGACTTTTGGGTACCTTACAACAGCTCTGCATTTATGTTTTACTTAGCTTTTGTAGCTGTTCTCAAGCAGAGCAGTTATTCCGATACTAGTTATTCCATCATTGCTGGGAGCAGCAGTCATCTTTCCACTTAGCACATGTCATTAAATTTGTATGGAAATGAGAGAACACAGTCAAATTGACAAAGCGTTTTAAAATTGACAGGGAAATTGGCTTGCTCATACACTGCAGAGGAGGGGATAAATTGGTACTACCTTTCTGGAGGACATTAATTTATATCAAAAGCTGTAACAATTCATTTGCCCTTTGACCCAGCAATTCTGCTTCTGGAGATTTTTTGCAAGAAAATAATCATGAATATATACAAAAATTTATTTTTAAAAATTTCCACCCCATGACCAAAATTGGAATCAAAACCCTAAGTATGCAATCATAGGGAATGTATTGGATGGTGATATTTCAAAGCAATGAATATAATGGAATTTAGTGTTACATATGATGTAGAAGAGTGTTCAAACCTATTAATGATCTGTTGTTAAGAGCAAGAGATTAAAAAACAACACATGCACTATGAACTCCTTTAAAAGTGCATATGCATTTATACAAGACCATAATAATTCACACGGAAGTGTTGTAGTGGGTAGTATTGAGCTGTTGGATTTTTTCCTCTTGTTTATGCATATTTAAAATTTTTTCTACAGGGTGTGCAAGTTTTGTAAAAAATTTACTGTTGGCAGTCCTAGTTGATAAAGTTTCTTGGCAGACATTTTATTTTATACTGGAGGCCTGGGCTCTGTTTTTAAATATTTATTTATTTATTTCAAAAGCAGAGTTACAGAGAGAGAGAGAGAGAAAGAAGAGATAGAGATCCGCTTATTCCCTCCCCAGATGGCCACAATGGCCAGGGCTGGGCCAGACTGAAGCCAGGAGCCAGGAGCTTCATCTGGGCTTCCAATGTAGATGCAGGGACCCAAGTACTTAGGCCATCTTCCACTGTTTTCCCAGGTACATTAGCAAGGAGCTGTGTGGGAAACAACTGGAAGACAAGCCAGTACCATATGGGATGTTGGTGTCACAGACAGTGTCTTTGAACCGTTACATCATTGTGGTGGTTCCCTGAGCTCTACTTTTATACCCTTAGTAATTTTGCAGATCTTATTAGAAGCAGCACCCTCCTTGGGAATATTTTGTGGAACAAAAGACCTCCCTAGAGTCCAAGGTTAAATTCCCATAGCCACGTTCAAAGGCTTCACCTGTTTCTGGCAGGATGTGGTAAAACCTCAGTGAGGAATCTTTGTACAAAGTGAAAAAGGTTTGCAGCAAACACCTGGATAGGAAGAGAAGATTTATTTCTTATGAGAATATCCTTTTTGAAATCACTGATCAAAACTTAATGCAGGTGCTTTGGTAAAACTAAAATGAAGATTTCTGAAGAACATTCTTATGCGTTGTTGCTTTTTTTTCTCCAAGGTACTTTCTAAGCCCACAATCACTAGTGATGATCTCTTGGGTTTCAAGGCTGCTTCCTAAAAATGCCTGTTCCTTTGCCACCTCATCAAAGAACCAGAGAGTTGAAGATGGGCGGCGGCGGCAGGAGGCCTATGGGTACTTCTTACCCATCCAGACAAGATGGCAAGATAACGACCAGTATGGCCACGTGAACAATGTTGTGTACTACAGCTACTTCGACACCATTATCAACCACTATCTGATCAGGTAGGCTTGGGTTCTGCTGCTGTGGACCCCCCGGCTGCCCTCAGCTGACAGTTGCTGTGGGCTGTCCTGGCAGGGAGGTTGCTCTTCTTCCCTTCTGCTGGCGTACCTCTTTGTTGAGCAGACTGAACTTCAGACTATTCCATGGAACAGAAGGAGCAACATGTGGGTGAGGAGTGTGCTACCCCGCTGCTCCTGCAGTCTAGGATGTGTCTGTATCTTGGTCCTTTGCACTAAATTGTCAGCAAATGTGTAGGATTTGAATCTCAAATATTCACCTACAGAACAGACCTCACGTTGTTCAGACTCTGAGCAACTTGAGTACACATTAACCTCAACCCTCAAGGCCTTTTGGTGAGAGCAGCAGCTGCTTCTCCCCCGGGAGGGTACGTAAGTGGGAAGAAAGAGGGAAAATGTAAAGCCGGTTTCTCATGTCCTCTGAGTGCCCTGATTGCACGACTGCCATCTGATAGGTATGTTCGCAAAATTGGTTGGTATATGTTTGGTTAATTTAGTTCTCTGTGAAAGATTGTGTGCTACATGGAGCTTTGCTGCACCTTGCATTAGCTGTGACATTTTGAGCAAATTGTTTAACCTTGTTGAGCCTTCTATCAAAATAACTCACATGTATTGGGAGCTTTCTCTTCTCTAGCCCTGTGAAGCATTTTGCACATAATTTCTTGCTTACACCCAAGACAGCTCTATGAGAAGGTAGCAGAGATTGTCAGTGCCTTGCCTACACCTCCCTGCCTGTACCCTCAGAACACACCGACCTGTCAGCTGTCAGCATCAACATGCTTATGCTAAGGACTTATGCAAGCAGACCAGCAGTGCTGAGGACTTGATGCCCCTTTAGGAGCAGCCTTCAAGCACTGGCTGATGGGAGCTGGTGTGTAAATACTCCAGCCTGTTCCCCCTTGGGTGAGGTGACTCTAAAGTGCACACTTTCCACAGGCTTCCAGGCTTCCCTAGTTTGTTTATGCCCAGATTGGTAGCTGTTTTCTTTAAAAAAAGAGAAATAAAATTTACAAAATATCGAATCCAATATTTTAACCACTTTAAGGTATACAATTCTGTGAGCTGTAATATAGTCATAATCTTATACATTACCAAATTCCAGAAGTTATAAAAGAAAAGACATCGAATACCTTTAGTCACTCTCAAGTCCTCTCTCTTCCCATCCCCTAGCAACCACTAAACTACTTTCTATCTCTGTGGATTTACCTGTTCTGTTTTTTATATATAATATAATATATTATGCGACCTTTTGTGTCTGATTTTCTTTACTTAGCATGATGTTTTCAAGGATTGTCCCACTGTTGGTGGGAATGCAAACTGGTAAAGCCACTATGGAAGTCAGTCTGGAGATTCCTCAGAAACCTGAATATAACCCTACCATACAACCCAGCCATCCCACTCCTTGGAATTTACCCAAAGGAAATTAAATCTGCAAACAAAAAAGCTGTCTGTACCTTAATGTTTATTGCAGCTCAATTCACAATAGCTAAGACCTGGAATCAACCCAAATGCCCATCAACAGTAGACTGGATAAAGAAATTATGGGACATGTACTCTATAGAATACTATACAGCAGTAAAAAAGCAATGAAATCCAGTCATTTGCAACAAAATGGAGGAATCTGGAACACATCATGCTGAGTGAATTAAGCCAGTCCCAGAGGGACAAATTTCTTATGTTCTCCCTGATCGGTGACAACTAACTGAGCACCAAAAAGGAAACCTGTTGAAGTGAAATGGACACTATGAGAAACGGTGACTTGAAATTTCATCTTTTTTTTTTTTCAAAGAGATGGATACAGCAACCTTTGCTTTGAGAGTCCTGTGTCTCTCTTGTGTGCTGTGTGATCCTCAGTTTTCCTATTAAGTTTACTTTTTGTGTGTTTGACAGTAATTCCTCTAGAAATGGCTCATCCTTGCTTATGAGTAATAAGCTATCTTTTTTGGCACTTATTTTAGCTTTTGGGAGCATGTATGTTTTATACTCTGCAACCAAGAGCATAAAGTGAAAACTGTATTTGAGGTTATTTGTAATTGCCCATCGTTTTCACATAAGAAACTAGATCATGAATTTTCCAACTCAGGGCTGTACTTAGAAATGATACTCCTTGCGCTCTCTTTGAATTGCCTCTTTATTTTTAAAGAATTGTTTATTTATTTATTTGAAAGGAAGAGCAATAGAAAGGGGAGAGGGAGACACACACACACACACACACACACACAGATCTTCCATCTGCTGGTGCATTCCCTAAATTCTCATATGCCCACAATAGTTAGGGGTCTGGGCCAGGCTGAAGCCTGGAGCCAGGAACTCCAATCTCGTCTCCCAAAGAGGTGGCAGGGGCCCAAGTTCTGGGCCGTCTTCCCATTGCCTTCCCAGGCACATTTGCAGGAAGCTGGACTGGAAATAGAGGAGCTGAGACTCAAACTAGCTTTCTGGTATGGGATGCTGATATTTCAAGCAGGGGCCTCATCCACTGCACCCCAGTGCCTGCCCCTGGGTTGCCTCTTGAGTCACCTCAATACCACTGAGACTAGCAGTGTTTGATTTTTGGCTTTTAGATGTCTTGCCTTCATGCACGGAGCCTCTGGAAAGGTTGTGTGCAGCTAATGATGGTTGGCGCTCTCTATCCAGTGGAGATTGCATCTGTGAGGTCCTCATTTGCTATGAACTGCATCGCTCATCACCAGTATTGATGGGGCTTGGCAGCGTGGGAGCAAGGATGCCTGCCAGAGTCACGGCCTGTCTCTGGTAGAAGTCTTCAGGTGTTAGCACACATTGGCTCTCACAACACTCAGACTGCTGTGCCTCGGGACTTTCTGGATATGATATTGTAAAGAAAATGGATTTACTTTAAACATTTTTTGGGAGATGGGAGGATTACTCAGTAGCTTGCATGTGAACTCTACAGCAAAGCTGGCACCACGTGAAAGGTTGGGGGCATGGGAAGCCCAGGTAGGGAGTGGCAACATCGCCCCGTTTTGCTTGTGTGAGGCAATGAGAGGAGAAGCCCCCATAGTGTGCATCCCAGCCCAGGGCTGCACTGTGGCTGCAGCCCACTTCCAGCTTGGCTTTGTAAGGGTGGTCAGTACTGTGCTTTTGCCAGACACCCACGGGATCATCCACTGGCAACATTCTTGCCTAGAACATTCCTCATGTATGGGGACTTTCTCCAGGATGGGGGGCCGGGGAGCTGTGGAGAGCCCACCAGGAAGAGTGAGAAGGAGCAGCCCAGGCCACAGCCTGCCCAGAGTCCCCATCGCTGTGACACGTGGAAGGGGTTAAGTCATTCTTGAACAGTTTATCGCTCATCAATTGTAATTAAATATGTTTATATTAAATTATGTTCTGTAATTAATGTAAAATCTTTTAGCCTATGCTGTTATTAGAACCAGATGCTGAAGTACCAACAATATTTCAACATGACTGTGCTGCCTCGCCAGCTGTCTAACTGTAATTACTTTAATCTCAGCTTGTTATCTAATTATCACCTTTGTAAAGGGAAAAGTACTCTCTAATGCTTACTGATTGTTTCAGATGATGATGAAGAGCGGGGAACAGCTGTCAGAGATCGTGGGCCCTGCTTATCACAACCAAGGAACTCATCCTGAAGTGTATTCAGGGCCAAAACTGCTGGAGGAGGACGTGCCAGGCGGGAACTGGGGACTGGCCAGCGAGGGGGGACAGGTGGTGTGGTGGCTCAGGGTGCAGCCCCGTGGAGAGACTGTCAGGTGACACCTGCCTCTTCCAGCAGTGCTGGGGGTCAGGGTTCCTAATGCATGGATGACTCAGCCGCCTTGTGTAGACATGGAGGCAGTGGCAGCGCTGGACTCCAAGGCAGAGGTCCGTCAGGAGGGCTATATTCGAGAAAGCTTGGGCAGCAGCACTTGGCGAAAATGTATGTAAATCCTAAGTGGTAATCATTCTTCCTTTTTAAAAAAAGAGCTTCAAGGTGGGTGTTCTCCATTTGCATCTTAGACGTAGTAGCCAAATCTGAAATGATTGAAATATCTGCCTCGATGCCAGCAACACGGCATTATCAGATCATTTTCCAAATCAGATTTAAGTTCTCTTTCCTTTGGGGACTGGAATGATCCTCTGTGTTGCTTATCCGTAAGTGGTTCACCAGCCGTAGTAATCAGTCAGAATTACGGGGCACTCCTGAGGCACCTAAGGAAAAGAAACTGTTTGAGAGTGGCCTCTGGTATTTTATGTAGGCATTTGCACGTTAGCTGCTGAAGTGGTCCCTGGACTTTATTCCTAAATAATCATTAAAGCAGGTTCCCCTAGGATGTTTCTTAAATTTTTTTTCTTTTTTAAAGATTTATTTATTTCTTTATTTGAAAGGCAGAGAGAGAGAGAGTGCGCTTTTCCATCTGTTGGTTCACTCCCCAAATGACTATAATGACCAGGACTGGGCCAGGCCAAAGCCAGGAGCTTCTTCCAAGTCTCACACGTGGGTATAGGGACCCAAGCACCTAGGCCATCTTCTGCTGATTTCCTAGGTACATTAGCAGGGAGCTGGACTGGAAATGGGACAGCCAGGACTTGAACCAGCACCCATATGGGATGCTGGCATTGCAGACAGAGGCTTAACCAATGCAGCAGTGCTGGTCCCTCTTAAGTCTTTATAGCCTCGTGTTCTTTTGTTTGTTTGTTTGTTTAAAGATTTATTTATTTGAAAGTCAGTTACAGAGAAGGAGAGGCAGAGGCAGAGAGAGAGAGATAGAGAGAGATCTTCCATCTGCCGGTTCACGCCCCAAATGGCTGCAATGGCCATGACTGGGCCAGGCTGAAGCCAGGAGCCAGGAACTTCATCTGGATTTCCTACTTGGGTGCTGGGGCCCATGGACCTGGGCCATCTGCTGCTTTCCCAGGCATATTAGCAGGGAGCTGGCTTGGAAATGGAGTAGCTAGGACTCAAACTGGCACCCATATGGGATGCTGGCAACGCAGGCAGTGGCTTTACCCTCTATGCTACAGTG